AATATATTGGTTTACAATTTTTTAAAAATGTCCTTACTGAATTTTGCTGTCAAAGTTATGCTAGCCAAATAACAAATATTCACTCCTTTTATACAATGAGTATATGTTAAATGAATATTATTCATTTCCTAAAATGTTGGCAGAATTTACTAGTAAAGCCATCTAAACCTGGGTTTTTCTTGATGAAATACTTTAAGATTTAATTTCTATAACATATGACAGATTTCCTCTTATTGATAAATTTTCAATTTCATTTAATCTTTAAAATCACTGGGATAAAGTTGTTCAAAATCTGTTCTTACCATTTTAATATTTGTAATATTCATAGTTATATCTCCCACTTGGTCCCTCATTTTAGTAATTCCATCTTCATTTTTGTTTTCTGTCTTTCGGGTGTTTATAATTTTATTAACTGTTTTAAGAATGAATGTTTGGTTTTTCAGAGGTTTTTCTATTATATATTCTTTTCAATTCTTTATACATCTGCTCTTAATGATTTCCTTTCTTTTTTTTGTTCTTGCTCTAACTACTTAAGATAGCATAAGTTTCACATACACATATTCTACATGTTTGCAATGTTCTATAAATATCAATTAGATCAGATTTATAAATATTGTTAGTAAGATCTTCCATATGTTACCAGTAGTTATATTTGGTTCATCAATTACTAGAAAGGTAACTTAACTAAGACTATGAACTTGTCTACTTATCCTCTTCATTCTGCCAATATTTGCTTTCTATATTTTCAGGCTGTTTTTAGACACACACAAACACCAATTTGCTATATCTTCCTAGCATATTTACTACTTTATCAGTATAAAATGCCTCTTTTCTGCCTAAAAATGTGTCTTTTTTTTAAGTTTATTTTATCCAGTATTTACAGGGCTATACCAACCTTTCTGTTAGTTTTTCATGTTATCATTTTCTCTCCTTTTAGCTTGTCTCTGCTAAGTTCACTATGTTTTTTGTAAGAAGCACATCATCATTGTGTTTTTTAATCTATTCTGACAATCTATGTCTTTTAGTTAGAGGATTAGTTCATTTACATATAAAGTAATTACAACATATTTGTTATTAAATATGTAATTTACTATTTGTTTTCTATTTGTCTCGTTTGTTCTATGTTCTTTTTTATTCCTTTTATCCCTCATTTGAATAAACTATATATTTTTGTATCATATCATGTCCCTTCTCTATTTGGTTATTACAGTCTTTGCACTATTCTTTTTAGAAGCTATCCTATTGCTCACAGCATGCATTTAACCAGGTAATAAACCAAAGCAGTATTGTTACTTCCCAGATAATTCAAGGATGTAAAACTCTGTAATTCCTTTGACCCCCCCCCCACAATTTTTGTGCTATTGTTTCTATCCTAAGCTTTTTTGAAGCTAGAAGTCAGTTCCCACCCCCCTTTTTTTGACATTGACTTTTTATCCCATCTACAGAATTTGTTTCCTTTTTGTGTCATTAAACTTTTTCCTTTATCTTCTTTACTTCAGGGAAACCAGAAGTGACATCTAGTTAAATCTGATTTATGATAAACATATTTAGCAACAATATTCATCACGTAATCCTGTGAGTTTTATATCTTATCATATTAGGGACAAGGATAATTCTAATCTCATAATAATTGTGTAGATTAAAAAGAAGTGGCACATGTAAAGTGTAACATAATACCTGACACATAATAGCCAAAGTTCATAATTTCTCACCTTCAGTCCTAGTAACACGTTGAGGTGGGTAATTCTTTTTTGTGGGGCTGTCTTGTGCATTTTAGGATATTTAGAGATATTCCTGGCCTCTATCTGCTAGGTAGCATCCCCCAGTGTGACAACCAAAAATGTCTCCAGACATTACCAAATCTCCTCTGGGGGACAAAATTAGATCCAGTTTAGAACCATTGGTATAGAACAAAAACTCAAGTATTTTTGGATAAATATTCCTCAAGCATTTACTATCATGCCTTATTTAATCTATGAGAGTAAGAGCTACATAGGTCATGAATGCTGTTGTCCGCATATCCATAGTTTTGGGGAGAAATATAAAATACACTGTCATTAAGTTTCCTGCTAGAGATAACCTTGTGTTGCTATGAGAGGAGGAGCATCTAACTAAAGTCAGAAGTGAGGCTCCTTCCATGGAAGAACAAAGAATTCTGAGCTGAGACTTGGAGGACAGGCTTCCCTCCTCTTTCCCAGTGGGGCCCCGGGAGAACAAACCAATAATGACTATTCACAACATAAATAACCCTTCCAAAAATAATGAATGAAAACCCATATTCTTTCCAGACTGTACTTCAGAATATGATCCATAAAGATGAATCTACTATCAACATAAAGACATAGGTAAGGTGAGCTGGGAGGGAAACAGAGATGGTACAATCCACCCTCTCCTCCTTCAGTTGTTAATGGCAATGACATGGCATTTTCCCATTCTATATTTCTCAGTCTGTTTGAAGACACACTGAATAACCACAACCAGATTAAGACCAGTCAGGATTAACGTCTCTCACACACACCCTTTCTTACCAACACTGCCTTCCAGGATGCTGATTCAGCTGTCTATACTTCCAATCTTCTTCCTGACCAAGCAGAGTATATCTTCAGCTCATTTGCAGTAGAATTCAGATGAGGGCTAGCTGGTCACTAAGCCTGTTTCCTTTACTTCCTGGGCACACAGCTCAACTATTTTTCCTCTCCCCCTCCCCACCCCTGCAGTATCCCGTGGCCATATGACTAAGTTCTAGCCTAAAGGATGTAAGAGTAGATGTGACATGCACTTCCTCCAGGTCTCGCCTGTGAACACCTCCCACGTGCAGCCCCTCAGGCTCTCTCCTCTCTGCTGCCTTGATTGAGACACACATTGGTACCTTGGAGGCTGCGATTTAAAGATTGTGAAGTCAAAGAGTGCAAGGAATCCCTGAGTCTCCACTTGGAGCACAGAAGCCCTATCAGGAACACCCATATTGGGTTTTCCATGAATCAGAAGTAAACTTCCACTGTGTTAAGTCACTAAGATTTGAGGGTTTATCTAGTATAGCAGTTAGCATTACCCACCTAATACACAAAAGGAGAGAAATAGCCCACTTTCCTCTGCAATTGTAATCCCTTTAGTTCCCCAGACATGAATGGTATTTCAGCCTTGTTCACCAAGCCAAAGAAAAGATCCTTTTGCCAGAATATTTCACTGATATTCCCTGGAGTTAAATGGGTATGTGAGAGGCTATTTGCAGGGCCATTGCTAAAGATCACACTTCATCTAATGTCTGCAGCACAGGAGCATGAAAGGACGCGGTCTTTGATGTCACACAGATGTGGCTTTGAATCTTGGTTCCCTCTTTGGCTCCTTTCTTTGGCTCAGTCTCCCTGAGCCTCTGTTTCTTCATCTGCAAAACGAGGGTAATAACACCTCATAGGAATTTCATGGGGATAAAAGGACAGATAGCATGTGAAATCCTGGCATAGTTCCTAGCATGTCCATGGTACTCAATTAGTTCCTTCCCAGCAACTATGAAATTAATGAATTGGGAATTTTTTTTAACAAATTTTTTTTTCTTTTTACTGTTCTAATCAGAAATTCAAGCAAGAGCTGTCCTTTTCCACAAAAGACCGGGTATTTATCTTTCCTTGAAAATGATGATTATCTCATATAAAAGGTATCAGGTTCAACAAATACTTCTATGTTTTCTTTGGTCTAAACAAGGAAAAGAATTTAAGTTTAAAGAAATTTTAAAACAAACACATAAACACAGGCAACATTCAGTATTTTTACCACTATTTTCCCTTGCAAGAAATAAATGCCATATTTTCAAACCAACAACAGTAGAACATACTCTGGGATTTGATCCAAAAGTAGAGCAATAAACAAGACAGTTCATATGACAGGGAGGGAGGAAAGCATTTTTCTGGGTAATACTAATAGACGTCGATCAGGACCTTCCCTGTTCCCATCTAATGAGAGACTCCATAGGAAACGCTGGCACATCAGAGAGCTAACAAGGCAGTGGTAGGCACGCCACCTTACCCAAGCCCGTTTCTGTAAGGGAGATTTGGCAACGGGACCGGTAAACAGGGGACAATTCTAGCTGAGCTAGCAGAGCTGAGAGCTGTCACAGCCTCATGCCCCAACTACCGTGGAAGGACGCTGAAATGTCAGGGCAACCAGGATGCAGAGAGAAGGCTTGATGAGTGCCGCCCACCAGGATGACTAAGTGCTCCTGGGGACAATCCCCTCTCAGAGGGCAGAAAGCAAATATCCAGATGCTATGAGCTGCCAGATGTGATTAACTGAGCAAAGGTGAAGTCACCCACTTAACCATCTGAGCAGCCTTCCTCATCAAAGTGACCTGAGAGTTTTCTGCAAAAGTATTCACCAACAAAACAAATGCAGGCGCCATCCGACTCCCGTCTCCACCTCTTCTCCTGTCTTCCTCCCATCGAGTCAGAACACCGGCCTATTTTTAAACCACTGGCAGAGTATTCTCTCGTGGAAATGGGGCTAGGTTGGGGGGGCTCCTGACACAGGCAGATGCTCACTCAGATACCGCGCAAGCTCCCCCCAGGCTACACCCACTCACCAGTCCTGCCTCTCTCCCAAGAACGGGGCAGAGGAGCCTAAGACGAGAAGGCCCCAGGAGGGAGCTTCTGCCCGTGCAGAGGAGGAGGGAGGATCTGACGCTGGTTCCCATGACACAGATAAGGCAGGCCTCCCTCCTCTGAGGAAGGGAAGACTGAGACTACGTGCAAACCAGCCCCATGTGCAGAAACCCAGAGAGAGAGCAGGAGAGACAAACCCCAGATGCGGATTCTAGCATCTTTTAAAGACTTAAGAGAATTTCAGTGTCTCTTTAACAAGCATCTAGCGTGCTCTAAGCAAAATAACAAACTTTTTTAAACATTGGAGACTGTCACAAGGTCATAGGCTGATTTGCCAAAAAAAAAAAAAAAAAAATCTCCAAACCAAAAAAATACTTTTCAAGAAAGGAGGTGTGTAGTACTTACAGTCTCTCCAGCTGCTTCAGGTCCTGGAAGGCACCTCTCTCAATAATGCTGACCTGGTTGTCCTCCAGATGCCTAGAACCATAGAGACAACGGTCAAAGACAAAGCTGGACTCAAGGACCCTTGTGCTAGGCCTCAGGCCATCCAGGGGTAACCTGTACCCGCCCCCTCCCCGCCCCTCTGGGCCCCCCAAGGAGGATCAGTCTGGTGGGACAAGATAATTCATGCTGCAGTTAGGTGTCACGGTAACCAGGGTTTGCCGCCTGCACACTTCTACCTGACAGATTGGTTTCCATGCCTCTATTTTAAGAATGTTCTCAGCAAATGTCCCCCCAAGCACTGCAGGATGTTGTACAGAAAAGGAAGAGGTAAAGCTGCTCCTTATAAGAACCACACACATACTCAGCACCTCATTCCTCGGAGCTCCCTCCTCCAAGGAGTCAAAAATATTCCATTGAAGAGGGCCTTCCCTGCTCACCCTTGTAGAAAGGGTGAAGTGACTGTGAGACAGTGGGCTGTCACCCAGAAAACCAGCCTGGTCCTGGGAATGCCTCTCACCCAGGGCCTGGCTAATCCCCAGCTCACAATGATGGTCACAAAAGCCTGAGCTTCCTGCCCCAGCGTCAAGCTGCACTCACCTTCTATGTGATCCAAGGAAGTGACTAAAAATCCTAAACATTCTGTTTCAAGTGAGTTCGACTCTTGCATGTGCTATATCCTAAGAATTGAGCATACAATGAAACATTTGTTTTTCTAACTTAAAAAAAAAATGGCAGCTTAAAATGGATTAGCTGAACAGTAGGGGAAGGAAGCCATGAAGCTTCACAGCTTCCATCTGGGGCCATCTTGGGCTGGGAAATGACATAGACTGTACTTGGTGGCTGAATGAGACTTGGGGGTGGAAGGGATGCAGTGGTGATTGAAGGATATTTCTTTGGAAGGTGGAGGGTAAGAAGGGTCTGGGCTTCTCTGGATTAAGCAGGAGGAGAGGTGCCCTAAGCACCTCGAAGGCCACAGAACAGAGGAAGGCTGCATCTCACTCCGAAAGTGACCCCTCTGCAAGGCCTTCTCAGCCTGACCCTTGGGCCCTTGTGTTTTCCTTTCAAGTCCATTTTTCCCACTGGGCCTAAGATGCAAGAAGACAGACCTCCTGTCCGTCATCATACTCCCAGCTCTAACACGGTTGCCTCACTGAGCGGCCACTTTTTAAATGCTCACTGAATGAATGGAAACTATAGGAGACTTGGGGCCTTAGCACATACTGGTTCTATATTAAAGAGAAGCCTATCCTTGTCTAGGACTCATGAAATTTCTATCAGGAGGGTAACTGTATTTTGTTTGGGCTCAATGATATTTTATTTCTTGTGGATGTGCTACAAACAGTTAAAAACCAATATTTCTCCCCCATACACACCCTACAAAAGAAACTCCCTTTGAAAAAAATCAGCTCTTCCATTCGGCACATCAGTTGGCCAGAGTGAGCATTGGACATCAGTCAGCAAAGGGCGCCTGGCTCTGCTGTTTGTCACATTCTGACCCTTACTCTTCTGGTACTTCCAGCCCATGTAGACTGACCCCTCACATGCTCCTCACTTCATAGATATGAAAATGACTGAACAGAGACTTGCCCGAGGAGAAATTTATATAGAGCAGTGATTTCCAACCACTGTGCTAGAAGAGGATCTTAGGTGCAACATGAAAATGTTTAAGATCATTAATTAAATTATTTTTTTAAAAAAGTTCAAAGCACAGGTTTTTTTTTTTTTACTCTATTTTTTGGATCAACATAATTTAAGTGTTCTACAAAAATATGATTATAGGTTCAAGTGCGCCATGAGATTTAAAAAGTTGAAAAACACTGATGCAAAGTCTTGCAGCTGGGAAGGGTGGACCTCTAACCCCAAGTCTAGTGTGCTTTCCAGATTTTGAATCTAATTTCATATATATATATATATATATATATATGGTCTCAGTTTGCTGCCCCTGGCTAGAATGCCATGGTGTTATAGCTCTATCCTGATGGTGTTATATTGGACCAGTCAGTCAACCTGAGACTCAGTTTCCTCATTTGTAAAACAGGAAAAATAAAACATTGCATACGGTCTTATTAAGAGTAAAAATGGAATAAGTAATTAAATCATCTAGCCCAGGATCTGGAGTTGAATTAGAGGCTCTAAAAATGTTCTTTCCCTTCTCTTCCTTGTCCATTCTGCCATATGCAAGGAGGGCCTTGGAATGCTAATACCCTTATACAAGCACATCGTGTTACACAGGGAACCAGCTCAATACTAGTGGCTGAGGATCTGCTCAGCTAAGTTTTTATTGCCAATCAATCGATCCCAGAACTTGCAGTCATTATTTCCCAGTTATAAGGACCATCTCTAGGGCTGTTGAGTGTCACATTCTGTGTTTCTGAAGAAGCTTAACTCCAACCTCCAGTGATGCATCTCTTAGTTCTATACTAATTAATCTACCACTACAAGCCTCTTTCAAAACAGGGAGAAGAAAAGTGAGCACATCCATATGAGACATGTGCCCGGCTAGAGCAAGTATTCTCCTTCCTCCCTGCTAGGAAACTTTATGATACTGTCCGGTTTCTTCTATTTAAGACCTGTCAGACAGTCCCTATCCTTTCTGGGCTCTGGTGCCCACTTCCTCCCACTTCTCCTTGAGTCCCAGGCATTAGTGGTGGCTCCTAGCTGTCACCAGCTTTAGGGAACAGTGCCATCTCCTCTGGGTTTCTCCTAACCCTGCCCACACCTCTATGAATAATTTTCTCTTTAGCTCTCCTCATGTGCTCCCTGTTAAGTATCACATCTTTCCTGCCATGACACTGACTGACAAAGCTCTTTTAAGAGCTACTTCCTAGACTTTTGCAGAGTCTAGTCCAGTACCTGGTGCTCAAAGGCTCAATAAATAATATTTGATGGACAAATAAATCAACGAATGAATGCACTATGACTCTCCCATCCAGACTTCTAAGCTGCAATACAAGCCAGGATTATGCACCAAAGTCATTCACAACCCCTTCAACTTTAGGACAGGGAAACCAGGAAGGGCTGGACACCCAGAAGTGCTGTCTGTGGCTGGAGTCTATTCTGAGTTAGAGGGACACAGACTGACAGACTGTATTCATTTTCAGCTCTTTGGGCATTTTTTTGTTTTTAGTTTTAACACTGGATCAGAATCGGAAATCCTCCCCCCTCAGATGATGATAGCTGGGGCGGAGTTTAACTTTTTTATTAACCCCATTTGGGATGAAGCTGACTCCCACATTGCGAGCACAGCAGAGTTCTTAAACAGACTAAGAAAGGGAATATCATTGACACCACCAGAAAAGACCTTTTCCTCCTCCCATCTGGTGGGAGAAAGAAATAACATGGGCAACCATTGTATCTTATCCTTGAATGCCCTTTATACGGGGAAAATTGCCCTAGGATGAGACTGGAGATCCCCAATAACTGTTTGATCTGCTTTCCCTCACATTCACAGCTCTGCATGGAAATGGGTGGCAAGCTCGAATTATCCAAGACTAGGGAGTCTTTTCTGGCTTCTCTAGAAACTGTAAATAAGAAACAGATATGGGGAATGTGCCAAGGTGCGAAGAAAGCTTTTCTAAAAAGATAGTTGTCTAGGTTACTCAGCTAAAAAGAATAGACTGAAGGAAAATATGGTAAAAATGTCTGGATATTTTCTTGGTGTTAGTTAGAAAGCATTTCAGCTATTCCACCTAGCAGATCCTTTTACAGTAATAAAGGGCCCCTTGGACAGGATTGTCTTTGAGTTGATAAGGAAGATAACGAAACACCGTATATAACAGAGTCTATAAAGTGGTGTAGGGGAAGGTTTTTTGGCATTGCTTATCAAAATAAAAAGAATGTACCAATTAACTGAAAAGATAAACTGTAGTCAAAGGAATGTCGCAGACCCTCCAGAGGATATTAATACAATCTTTCGTGATTCCTTTAAACTTCCTATTATATTTCCAGAGAGTAGAGATGGAAATTAGAATTTTTATGAGTCTTTCTCATGTAATAGTAGAAAAATTAAAGGGTTATTTTTGATGTTGTTAGAAATTAAAGCATTGGGTGAAACCTCTGATTCATAGGAAAGGAAATCTCACAGACACAGGAGGAAGAAATGCAAAAAAAAAAAAAGAAAAGAAAAGAAAAGAAAATAGAGAAGTTAAACAGATGTCTGTCTTTTAACCTGGCAAATGACATGGATTACTGAGTTACTGCCTTTATCTTTTCTATAAAAATCACCCTAAAACTGAAGGACAGAATTACCCTCACCCATATTCCAATCTCAATTCTGATACACATACATCTTATCTGAGCTGCCAGTCACTTCACAGACCCACGGATGCTTACAGCAAAAGAAAGCTTTGGCAGAGAGTAGGCCCTCCCTCCAAAGGTAGGGAGAGGAGTGTGAGACCACAGCCTGTGGTCTTGCACATCAAGAGCAAGATGCCCTGCACATCAGAGCTCCATGTACAGAACAGAGGGTCTATGTCTGCCTTGGTTTTCTAAGCCCCCTATGATACAGACACATACTGTGTTTCCCAGAAAATAAGACCTACCCAAAAAATAAGGCCTAGCAGGATTTCTATGTATTTGTTAAATATAAGCCCTACCCCATAATAAGACCTAGTGATGGGCGTGGCTATGCAGATATGCATTTCAGCATGGAGAGGAAGACATCCCCTGAAAATAAGCCCTAGTGTGTCTTCTTGAGAAAAAATAAATATAAGACAATGTCTTATTTTCGGGGAAATATGGTAGTAGCACTACATGGAAATTAGAAAGTATACAGTCTGACTCCTTCCATCACCTGTTAGATGGCGTCGGGACCATTTAACCTATCCATGCCTGATTCCTTGCCGCATGGAAGGGTTGACAGTGAGGCCTACTGCATGGTACCTCTACGTAACACTGTGCTGGGTCCGTGGAAGGTGTAGCATGAACAAGCTGGTTGTCATCATTATCATTACTACTAATTCTTCTCAATCAGAAAAGAAAAAAATATTATAAAAGTAACAAATAACACTTTGTATGTGATAAATGAGAATATCCAGACCATTCATGAAAATATTAAGTGTGAATGTACAGGTGTATATATGTAAGTATGTATGTATGTATGACAATGAGAGCTGAAAAGGCTTCAAACAGCTCATTCTCTATACTATGGATGAGAAAACTGGGCCCAAAAGGGTACATGGATTTTCCCAAGGTTACAAAGGCAGTTAATTCTGAATCAGGACCAGAATCTACTACTTTCTGCTCTAGGTACAAATTCATTCTATTACATGGGGCTATTAGTAAAACAGAAAAGGTAGCTTCACGTGCCAACACTGTTACTTCTAGTAATGATCTCCTAGTCAAGATTTCACAACACAAAAAACATCAGGGTAGTGGGCAACTTGCCCAGGCTGTACACTCCATCCAGGTCTCAAGCCACCAATGAATAAAGAAGGAACAAAGATCTAATTACTCTTCTCTTATATCCCTGGATGTCTGAGACTTTTCAACGAGCAAGTATTTGGGAAGCTTCTTATCACCCGCAGACTTAAGGATGGATGAAACTCTTCAATACTTCAATATTCTACAATGAAACCCAATATTCCTTGTGCCCCTATTCTGTCAATGCCCATCTCAAATTTTGCTACCTGTCCACATAGCCGTGGGTGTTCAGCAAGGGCTCTGACCCTTTCTGACTCTCTCTCCCTCTCCCTCCTCTCCTCCTCTCCATTAAGCAACAAGATAAATAACTTCTGTCCTGATTGGTCTTTTAAAGCACAGGCTGGAGAAGAAATTATCATCTCTATGGAAAGGAAGCATGGTTAGTCAACCTGACATTGCTGTCATCCTAGATGCTAGGCAAGTAGATTTATTCATTTATAGCCTTCTGTTTTCCCTGTCACTTGAACTAAGTTCTTCCATCGATCTAGCTCAGCCAGCAGCATGGAGACACAGAATGGGATACCTGTGAGCATTTGGCTACACTAATGATGGGGTTTCTGCTGCAGAATGGTGAAATCCTACTGTCCGGTGCTGGGCAGTGCAATGTTAAGGCAGTAGTATTTTTTTTTTTTTTTTTTTTTTTT